TTCGAAGATATGTAGTGATATTGTTATAATTTGAAGAAATCTAAATACCTGGGATCGTTGCATAATTGCAAGTCAAAAATTTCTATAATCTGCTAATTAGTTATTATAAAGCCAGAATTTTTGCTGGTTTTAACAGGTAAAATCAAAAAATTCGCAGAATTTGGTGAGCCAGGAGCCAAGAATATCGAAACGATCTCGGCAATAAATTTTCGCAATATAATTCCATAAATTATACTTTATTTTAAAATTGAAACAAAGCCAAAAAATATTTTTTCTGCTTCTTGAAAGTAGCAATTCTGCCTTTTAAAATGCAATGCGATCCTCCACGCGATTAATTTGAATTCATCTATAATCTATGACTCTTTGGTACCATCTAAGCTCCATAACATGTCAGCCAGTAGAAGTTAAAAGAAGAACGAAGACAACTGAAGAAAAGATAGAACTTTTTCTCGTTTGCAGCTAAAGCTAAATCCACAATTCTTTAACTCTTCGTGTTGATTTCTAAATTTTATAATTTTTCTTTTTATTTTTGCATTTTTTGATCTCTAAAAAAGGCGAAGAAGAAAGTTTTTATTTATGGGAAAAAATTTCATAAATTAGACGAGTTAGTAGTAAAGTAATAGTATTTTCATTTAATAGTATAAGTGCTTTTTCAAAACTTTCGCGTTCCTTTTCTGAACGATATTCCTTATTAATTCCAGTTTCCCTTCGTATTCTTCTTCTTCATATGAAGCTGAGGAATAGAGTGGCTCAGTGGGTTGTTGCTCAATTCGGAACACTGATGCTGAGGCTCTGGAATAAACCTGTCCAAAAATACGGGTTGTGCTGGCGATTCGCCTGTACTTTTATCGCCATTCCCTAGCATATTTGTTTAATGCGCTAAGCCAGAAGAGCAAATTCAACCAGCAATGGTGAGGGCTCTTCTTATAACGGCTCTCATTCATTACTGGTTCGGTTGGATCTGTTGGCTAAGGCATTTCCTTTTATATTCAACTCCTTCGACATATTTATTTTTTTTTGAAGTCGGGTTTAAGAAGTGAAATAATTTCAAAGGAAGATTTGAAGCAAGAAATAGCCATATGCTTAGAGTAATAAAAATTTCATAGAAAAGAATATTGAAACAATAAAATATTAATAAAAAAATTCTAAAAAATAAGCAATTATCATATTTTCATACTCATTAAGGATGTGTTGTGACTAATTAATATTATGGATAGTCGTTACAAATTTTTCCTGATTTATTTTGCATTATTTCTCAATTTCTGATTTTAATTTTACTTAGTACTTTAAGTTTAATTATTTTTTCAATAAATGTTCAGCTAAGTACTTTTAAATTCCTTTAAATATTTTAAATCAGGATAAAATAATTTATAAATTAATCAGTTAAATTTATCCGACTTTTGTTTTGAATATAAAGAAATTCTACACATATTTATATTTATATATATAACAATTTAACAATTCTTTTATTTTATTTTCTAATTTATTTTTTCATCATTCCTTTATTGTTTTTTTCCTTTTTTGTCTTTGACAGGAGCAAACCTATCATGATATCAAAAATCCGGGTAACTGCTGGGGACCCACCTGTATTCCCAATTGTATGGTGAAAAAGTCAGGTCTCTTTGACGCGGCGATCGAGTTCTCTGATACACACTTTTAACCCTGTGGTGCGATAAATATATGACCCAAGTATTATAATAATAATAATATAATAATAATAACAATAATAAACAGTAATAATAACAATAATAATATCAAAAATAACTTCAAGGCTTGAACAGAGTACATGCTCGCGAAGTTGGATTACGTAGAAACCGTCAAGGGAGACGAGAACCTATCCGATGATATTTTAGATGGGCGGTAAGACTATTGACTTCAGCTAGTTAAACATCAGAAGTTATGGACGTAGTAAGCCTAGCAATCAATTTTTTTAAATAGCGCGTGGATGTGGCTTGTTTGTCAGAATCTCTCTTTTTTTTATTAAATCTGGCTCCAAGCAGAAGTATTAGCTATATCACTATGGTGTCTCTGATAACTCGAGGCAGAATGACGTAGCAATCGCCATGTTTGAAAAGGCTCGATCTGCTCTGATTGAGTGAAAGTCATTAAAATGATCGCATGGCGATTTTCTAATAAAAGCTTGTCGGCACTCAAGAGGTATCCAAGTTCAGAGCATCGTATCATAGATCTTGAATACGCTGGTGATGCAGTCCTTTTTGCTGACAGTTATGACGAAACGTAAATAATGCTAAATAACGTGTCAGCGACTGCAGCGAGAATCGGATTCAGGATCAATATAAATAAAACGAAAGTCTTTTCGTCTTATGTGCAAGAAGCTGATAAAATGCCTCTTTTTACAAATTCATTGCCGGTTGAAGTATCTGATTTTAAATACCTTGAGTCCACTCTATTACCATGTGGGCCAATCAAAACCTGGACTAGTACGATCTGAAAAAATTTTGAACGTATAGGTGGACCAACAATGTATGGACTTAGAGGATGGAAAAAGGAATGGCTTCTAGTACTGCCGATGATGACACCAGACCGCGCTGCTTGGAAGCGTCTTACCCTTGTAGCCGTTGGAGCAGCCAAACCAGTGATGGTGAGAGCTGTTAGAAGAAGAAGAGATATCTTATGGATGCGCCGAACGGATAAAATCGTCGCATCCACCTTCGCTTAAATACATTTGCAATCATAGAGCGTCGCCTTCGCTGGTTAGAGTACATTTATTTTAAATCCGAGGTTTTCAAATATCAAATGGTTTTACCATGGTGGACAGAAGTGCAAAAGCTTCAGATAAAAGAAGATAAAATAAGAGAAAGAGTGATTTTAAACAGCATAAGTGGAGCGGAATTTTGGGACTACAGTATGCTACGTTAGCAGATGCTATGTTAGATTAATAATAATGCATAAAATCCGCTAGAGGATGTGCAATGTCTCAGGGAGTTGTTGCTTAATTCAGATTGTCGGTGCTAAGGTTCTGCGCTGAAGTAAAAATTGTCCTTCAAGAACTACAGTGATATGATTCACCTGTCGATCTTCGTCAAGTAATTCCCGGACCAAATTCAAATCTTATAAGCCAGCGGAGCGAGCTTAACCATAATAGCGCTTCTAGTTAAAAAAATGGTCCGACTAGGTGAAGATCTAAGACTATAAAGGAGTTTTAAAAAATTCTATCATTTAAAAATGAATGCAAAATGGATGCTGCTTGATAGTATATTAAAGAAGATTCAACGAACTTTGGTTTAACGGATTAGACTGGCTTCGCTGGTTGCATTAGAAAAATTTTACCATAAGATCACTTGGCGATAATATTAGATGAATCGCCAGCATCTGGACCTGATCAGATTTATCCCGTCTGATAGGGTTCTGTTCCTCAGCATCAACGTTTTATAAGGAGGACAATTTAATGAGCCTTTGGGTGATGTGACAGATTTTGAGGGCTTCGAGAACTATTAACTAAGAATATTTAAGAAAGCTCATGATGATGTTTCAAATGAATTATGGCGAAGTGAGATTTGATAAGGGAAAATTCGTCAGAGCTTTGAAAGATGCTTAATGGTTACAAAAAGTCACAAAAAAATGTTAGAAGGCAAAGAATAGTTTACATGGTTGAGAGAAATCGGATTATAGCTTTGGAGGTAGAGGAAACTGTGGAGAGGAATAATCGAAATTGGGAAAAGATTGGGGGATATAGATGAATTTTTGTTCGGACATATGAACAATAACATAGCAAAACCTCTTGGTCAATCAACCTCTTGATATTTGTTCAAAATCCGCTAAATTTACTTAACATCTCATCTCAATTTTTTGATTCTCCATTTTTCAAAAATCCCATATTCTCGCGATTTGCTTACTGATACTATATCATTATGTCACCTCTCTTTATTTTTTTTGATTTTTAATATTTATTATAAAAAACTTAGGAAAGTTTTTCACGGTGCAAAATAGATTTTAGAGGAAAATGGAGCCTCCGATAGAAGGCCGGGAATTTGAGTAGCATTGAAGAAATATTGGCCGAATACAACACCGGTAATATAACAGGGCATCATGATGAGGTCAATAAAGCATGAGTGCACTAGGGAACATGAAGGAATTTGAAGAGGTGTTATTATCTTTTAACGGTCTGATAAAGCCTTAAAGAGTTTTAAGATGATTGTGAACAGATAAACAAGGTCTCAGGAATTTGACAAGAGGCTTTAATGGTATCTAAGGGAAGAAGATAGTATGAAGGTAGAATATGGCGGAATAAAACAGCGATATTTGGTGAAGCATTAGCGGAAATTGACGAGGCTATGGGTGAGACTATTAGGATAAAATAGGCTAATAGGCTAAAGTATTAAGGAGGAACAGCATACTTTAACAAGTGTGAATGGTAAAGCAGCTGCTAAAAGCGATGTTATTAACTGGTCAACATAAAGTCATACTTTGGAGTGGAGGGAGCCATGAAGGAAAGTAATCGAATTTAGAACGATGGGGCTTATGCAATGAAAACAGGTGAGCCTTTTAAAATATAATCACATATCCATCGCTATTTTCATCAAAATGCTTTCATCAAAATTTTATTTATTGAGATATTGTTTTATACAAAAAAATGCAAAGAAAATTCGATTCGTTATAAGCAAAAATGAAAAAAGAAAATGCGATTAAAAAATCTATCGAAAAATCAAGATGAGAAAAAATATGACTAGCTGGAATCCCTCCTGAAATTACTAAATTTCCTTGAATTTTGAAACAATTGCACCATAATATAAAATAAATGATGAGAATGACCTTATTTTAATATGGCGTAATTTCACTTTCTACCGTTTGACCTACTGCCTACGGGTTTTCAAGAAAGGCGGGTCTCAACCAGTAGTTTTAAACAACAGATTATAGAATGGACGGATCGCAGAGATCGGAATACATTAGAGCTGCAAAGACTAGTTTGCAATAGGTTTATAGTTGAAAAGTCTCTTGTGAAACAAATTAACAACCTAGCGGGGAAGGTGTCTATAGCTATGGCCGGCGTTCATCACTTTCCAGTATCTTTTAATTCATTGAATCCGAATCCATTCAACAATCCGCATCATTATCATCATCACTATTTCAACTCGAAACCATTCGAACTTGATTTTCAACAAAAATTCGAATATTGGTTCAAAGTAAGATTTATAAAATATTTGAAATTTGAAATAAATCGATCTTGCAAATCCAGAATTATTTTTTCTTTCTGCTTGACTTATGGAAAATCTTGCAACTAATCATATCACATCTTCATTTATGAATCCTTGAATGAAATTTCTCCACTTTCGACTTGTGCTAATAATGATTCCATCTGTCTTTAAAGACCTTTTTTCCCTATAGCTTCATTATCTCTTCTCAGCATTACAAACAGTCTGGCATCTGGGAAAGAGCAGTTGAAAACCAAAGCGCAGAAGTGGAAATGGAACCACAGCGAGTGTATTTGCAAATTCCTAATATTTTTTATTTGTTCTTATTATTGATGCCTGATCAGTTTGAATCGGTTTAGATTTTTTTGTCCATAGCTAGAATGTGCGATAATTGATGGTTGTCAGACTAGATTAGTCAATTTTCATTTGAGGAATTGTAATTTTTTTATAGCAATATCAATAATAAGAGGCAAAATAGCGGACGGATAGTGAGATAGATTATAGTGCTGAGATGCTTTGGGAACCCATTTTTGACAAGAGTAGGCCCATCATAAATAATCGGGATAATGCTGAAGATCCATCTGTATTTCCCTTCACCGACTCCCTGTCCTGACTAATAAGCAGCGGGACTAACCAGAAATGGCGAACTTATTCAAAGAACAAGGGAGAACACTTCAAGTGGCTTGATGAATGACAAAGCGATTATGGCCAAAAATTGAATGACTCATTTTTTTTCACATTTTCAGTTTGCTTTAATAAATCCCATGATCAAATCAAATGAAAAAAAGGCAATCAACTGAGTTATGATTGATTTTGTGAATGAAAAATGGTAGAAAAAATCAAAAATAGGCTTTGTTGGTTACTAATAGGCATTTTCCAAGCCAATGAATCTTTTTTTTCATTGGCTAAAAATAGGATTGAACCTTCGATTGACTGGCGATGGATTGAAAGGAGTTGTGAGCGTTTTCAGAACAGTTCAAATAACCACTTTTGCTATGAATTTTACGCAGCTATTCATATAAAACATGCTTTTGCGCTAAGAAATTTTTGTTTATAAGAGATAATTGATCTTTAAAATGAATTCCCAAATATTCACCGAAACAAGTTCTGACAGCCATACATTGCCTTCGGAGAAAAAACGAGATTCTCATCAACCGATATATGATTCTTCAAAAAATAATAAACAACAATATAGAAAAAATTCTTCGAAATCACTATAGTTGGTAGGTTATAAGTGTAAAAGGACAAAAAAAGTGCGAAGCATTTTATTTAAGAGTAGAATGGCTTAGTGGTTTGTTGCTCTCAATTCTGAGGCCAATTTCTGAGAGGGTTCTACTCTCTGCAAAAAAAAACCTGTCCTTCGAAAATCCGTGTGGTGCTTCCAAATCACCTGTGCTTCCATCGTCAAGGGGATCCGATTAGCGAGCGGAGTGAGCCCAACCAGAAATGGTGGGCGCTCTTAGAAAAAATGAAAAGCAACTTCTCGTAAATGACAGATTCGCCCTTTATTCCACAAAAATTTTTTCGTTCTTATAGCCGATAAATTTCTTTAGAATAATGATATTCAAAAGGTGGAAAACGTTGATTTCACGAGTCGTACAGCAGCAGAATGGGAATCAAATGCAGTAAACGATGAAAAAGCAGTTAAAATAGATAATGAAGTGTTATTACGGAATCAGAGTAATATTATTGGCAAATAATTGTTGATAGAACGGTGGAATCAACGGAAAACATTTTACAACAGAAATCATATTTTATAATTTTTATAATTGAACATTTTTCTGTTTAGTTAGGCGATTTTTATAGTCCAAACCTTTATAAATTGGATATTCGATTCGAGAAATATAAGCTGATTAATTTAACTGTAAAACTTTTAATGAATCGCAATTTTATAAGGCTTTTCAATTTCCAACATCAATAATTGTAACTAATAGTTATAGCACGAACAGGAACTAATCAGCTTGGAGGAGTATATGCGAATGGACGTCCGCTACCCGTGCATTTACGTGAGGAGATTATTAAGATGGCATCATCGGGTACGAAGCCATGTCAGATTTCACGTGAACTTCGAATTTCACACGGTTGTGTGTCGAAGATTCTTTCAAAGTGAATGATCTTTTTTTCCTCGTTATTAACCCCATTTTTCTAGACATTCTAGCATTTAGGGATAGTGCAAATAATTCAGCTTGAGCTAATTCTGCAGCTCAGGTGCTGCTAGTAAGCATAACCCACTTTTACTTGTATCACTAAATGACTCCCTGGAAAATTTATCTGAGTCGACAAGCCAGCGAACCTTAGAAATGGTGAGCACTTTTAGAAAAACAATTTCTGTATCTTTTTCATCATTTTATTCTTGTTTATGGCTTTTTTATTCGTTTTATCCTTTTATTAATAAAAATTTTGGAAAGAACCGCTTGAAATCATTAAACTAATCAATTGACCAGTTAATATTCCATTCTATGTCTCAATTCTAGTTTGTGAAAAATATTAGTTTGCCATTGGTTGCCTAGGGGCAGAAAAACTAAAAATAACTGAAATAATATAAATGTGAAAAATGACATCTTTTTAATAAAAATCTTTTGAGGTTCTTTCGTCTTTTTCTTTTTCTGATATTTTAAGTAGAAAAACTGCAGGTATCGTGACACGGGGTCAATAAGGCCTGGAAAAATCGGTGGATCGAAGCCTAAAAAATCTCTACCTCAGGTTGATTCTACTTCTAATTTTATATCAGAGAACAAACAATCACGAAAAACTGATGATTTTTCTTAATGCTGCGTAAAAATTATCAAAAATTATTCTTTTTTTTTAAATTATTGCAGATCATGAATAATTATTAGTAGCAGTAATATGAAGAAAGCTTATTTACCTGATAGATTTACTAAAATTTCTTAAATTTACATCGCTATGCCAACTATTAGCGCATAAATTAGGCCATAAGCTCTCTGAATTTGCTAAGGCAGAAATATGGATGTATGTACCACAAAGCTGATAAGCTTTCTATAAGAATCTTCGCCTTCTAAAAATTTTTATCTTTGACAAAATTAGTTTGAGTTGTTTTCAAATGAAAGAAACTGTTTTTTCAAAATAACTTTCGAAAATAATACTTGAGGTCGTATCAGCGATATCAATCTACAAGCGTTATCGGCCGTCGATTTATTCGTGGGAGATACGTGATCGCTTAATTTCTGATGGTGTTTGCAATACTCATAATGTACCGAGCGTGTCTTCAATCAATCGGTTCATTATAATCAGTTGTTTTATCAAAAAATTTTATTCAGTTGCTTTATCTCTTACCATCCACGTGGAAAAAAATTGCTGATAATTCATTAACATTATTTATCTCCAAATATTTCTTTGCCTACTTTTTTAACTTTTAACCTTTGTTACAGAGCTTTCATCCTTTAGTACCAAATTAATTAGCTAATGTTGTAGTAATATTTCGATTTATTTGATTACATGATATTTTCAAAATCATACGAAAATTATAGCATAATAAGAACAAAGCTAAGTGCGCAATCAAAATTCGATTCTGAATTGGGTAGCGAGCTCGAAGCCAATGAACGGACTGAAGAAAAAATCATCGCAGATTATCAGTACTATGCTGAATTAAAAAAAAGCACACCATATGACAATCAAGAAAGGAAAAAGCCAAATATAGATGGATTTTTATATGCCAACAGTCCGACATCATTTGCTTTTAAGCCTTGTTCAACATCATTCTCAAGTTGTTCAAGCACATAACTTAGAAATTTATGCAATCAGCTAAATTCTGCCTCTTAAGATCGAGTAATCTCGACATTTAATATTTCCAAATTTATTATCGTGTCGATAAAATAGTGCCATAATATTGTTTAGCCTGCGTATCTCCAAACCTCAGCATTTTATATTACTTTGGTAATTTTATTGAAATCTTTGGTCGAATATTTGTAGAAAAGTTTTTGCTTAAAGATGTGCTGGATTTTTTTGCGTTAATAATTTCTTACTTTAGTACCATTTCAAATTCGATTTTTTTTAATATTTTGTGTTTAAAATGCCATTTTTGTTTCAAAACGATTTAATAAATATTTGAAATTCATTTTGAATTTACTTCAAAAAAAAGTTTATAGAGAAAAAAAAAGAAGAAAAGCGAAAAGAAATTAATATTTTCAACAGATTCAATTGGATTTAAATTTAAAAGTGATAAGTGAAATGATAAAAACTGAATAAATCTGCAAAAAGTTCAAATTCATTTGTTTATTAAATATTTGTTTCCTTTTTCATGGATAGTTCACCACTTGTGACTAAGCATTGCTTGCCGAAATTTGTGCAAGAGAACCACTTCGATGGAATTGTAAGTAAGCCCCCATCACAAACCGGATTTTGGAAGCGAAGGAGTTTGTAGGGTTACTCGTGCTCATAGGAAAACCGAAACATCTGCAATCCCATTGCCACTGAGCTATTCTATCTCTTGGTTCATTGTAATTATATTCTTTGATTTAAGATGATTTTCTTAAATTACTAAAATTTTCATGAATAAAATTGATGATTTTATCAGCAGATTGGTAATTTTTTAATTCGTTAATTATAGTAATATAAATATTATTCCTTTCTTTTAAAATAATCTAAATATTTTGCAGTGCTCGAAAGTTCGAACTTTATATTTCATTTTTTTTTAAAGAGTCTCAAATCATTTAGTGGATTTTGAATATTTTAGATGGTAATAAACAATATATTTCAATTGTGGCTCAACAATTGTTTTTGTGCATTTCAGTTAAGCTTCAAGATTTCTAAAGTTTTTTCTACTGCTTTTATTGTCCCCTCAAAGCTATGAAATCCTCATCCAATATATTATTTATGGAATATTATCAATATGAATTCAAAACTACCTGAGCATTTTGAATCAATAGGTCGAATTTTACGCTGACCCAAAGTTTAACTTGATTTGATTTCTTTATCATTATCTTATTAAAACTTGTGTTGATATTGGCATGTAATTATGCATTAGAAATAGATAAAGAATTCCTGCTAATATATACTTAATATAATATATATTTAAAAATTAAAAATTAAATACAGTGGCAATTTTTTATGAATAAATAATTTGAAGAATATTGCCTGGTGTTGTGCATAATGAAGATTCGAACTAAGATAAAATAAATAAATTTTGATAAATAAATTTTAAACGTGATAAATTGGAAATAATTGATAAGCATCAGGCAAGGGGTTGTCTTATTTCATTTTATTATTCGTACATATTTATTGCTTTAGTATTAAATTTCTTTAAATCTGCTGTACTCTCTCTTCTTATTGTAATTCATTATACAGGCGAATGGCTATAAAATATCTCTGTGTAGTTACAGAAAAATTCCCCATGTTTTTCGCTGTTAAAACGGATTCAGTGATTGAAGGCTAAGTTCCTTCAATTAAATAGGTTCGGTCCTTTTTCCTTTTCAAGGAAAATCATTAAAAATGCTCTAAATGGCTTCTAATTTAAATAATTTAAACAAATGCCTTCTATAATAATTTGAAATACTTTAACTTTAAACAATTTTTTTGACTATAAATTATATCAATGCGAACAGTTTGTTGACTGGATTTAATGCGTTTATGCGTTTTGCGTTTATGTGTTTTGTGAAGACTTGAAAATCGTCTTTTTTTTCAAGTGATAAATCGCAAATATAAACGAAACAAAAGACAAGTATTCATTCATTTAATTAATGAAGGAAAGAAAGGCGAAATATGGAGCAATATGGGGTAGGAAAAGCCTCCAATAATAGCTCGCGCATTTCTGGTTCTAATATCGCGTCTAATCTTCTAAATATTAACCCCTAAGGGCATTCATATCGTTGCTATATAATTTATGTAAACAATCATTAAAGAAAATAATTTATTATCGAAATGAATGATCCATTGAGGCAAAATTTATTAGCGAATGAAGTTTTTCTATAACAAACGGATTAATATAGACGAAAAGACAAGCAATCATTATTATACGGTTTATTATTTGCAAATTACTCTTATATAATAAAATATTACTCTTATATAATAAACTTTTTTGTCTAAAAAATCTATGCTTGCTCGGCTGGCTTATCAGACCAAACGATATCACTAAAAAAGTTCATCTGACGATAGAAGTATAGGTGAATGGACAGCACCATTCGGATTTTTCAAAGACAGGTTTATTCTTGAAACAGAAATTCAGCGTTCATCAGCGTTTTGAAATCACAGCAATCCCACCATGCTTAGAACAAATGTGAAAAAAATCTAAATTTTGTTGAAATTTAATTATTATTGAAATTTCCATGATTTTGATAGTTGTATTATGCAATTATTTCTAATATTATTCATAATATTGCAATACTTATCATTCATTAATTTTATCGCTTTTCTAGTTTAAATGAAGTAAAACTCATTTCTCTTCAAATTTACAAGTGAATTTGACTAAATCAAATTACACTTTCACTTTTCGGTGAATAACTATAATCCCAAGAGCTTTTATTCTTGCAAAATCTGTAGTGAACACGACAAAGCAAAATTTTATTTGAAAGTCGTCTTGCAGTAGGCACAACCAACTTTTCTCTGTAAAATATAAAATGCAATACTTAAATAAATAAATTTCAAGATTACTTCATATATGAAATCTTTATGAAAAATTCGGAAAATTAATATTTCTTATAACTTACAAATTTTCTTAAATATTTTCAAAAAAATGAAGAAAAATGAAAGTTTTTTTGAAAAATAGAAATCGGTGGATTCCTCGATCTATAGAAAAATGGAAAAATATTACGATTTAAATAAAAAAATGTTTTACAAAAATCTATTATTGAATATTAATATCGGACAAAAAAAGATTCCACTCTCGTATTAATTGTACACAATAGTACAAATCTCAAACGACAGTAGGAATGTGGAACAAAGAGGTAAGATGTGGAAGTATGCCGCAGGTGTGACATTGAGCTTGGAAGTGCTTTAGTCCTTTATAGTCAGCGCTTCCGGCCTAACCAGTAATGGCGCGAATCAGATTAAAAAGAACAGTACTTCCCATAGAAAGCACGAAAACACTTATTAAAGCAGCTTGGTTTCCATATTCATCCGTAATACCTAAGATAATGTTAATGTTAGTCCAGCTAAGATAATGTTATAATCAAACTTCTGTCATATTTGTTGACCAAATTCAATGTGCGGGGTTTCGGCGGTCATGAATCGAAGCTATCAAACATAGTTGAAACTATGAACTACATTTTAATCGATCAGTTTTATACAGTTTCCACTGATTACAGATTTTTCAAATAGCAAAAAATGGTTTTTTGCGAACAGGAAGATTATAAAATGAAAAACTATAGTGTTTTCAATGTTCTTTCGCTCAGCAAACAAAAAATAACCAATTTACGCACTTAGTTGCCTATTACTTGAGTGATAAAAAATTCTTCCAAAAAATAAATAATAAATTTAAATATCTAAATATGTAAATACAAATTTAAATTTAAATATCTAAATATGTAAATACAATCAAAATAACAAACATGCAAGGAACTTTTCTAATTTTTATTTGTATCATATATAATTAAACTTTTATACAATAAAAAAACAAGAATAATACAACTAAATAGAAAAATTTTGATACTTTCCCAAAAATATTTCAGAAAAAAATATATGAATTGCTAGTTTGAATTTTCCTTCTCGCAAAACCTGTCCTTTTCTTTTTATTTATTCCATGCTCACGTAGGATTCATATTATATTAAAAATTATGAGACTAGAAATCTCTTATTTGCTTTATTTTCAAGCGCAAATACAAACATACATACATATTTATCCTCTCATTATGATGGGAAAGACAAAATTCCTCGATGAGAAAATATTATGAAGCTATCCTCCTTATATGGTGTTTAATATCGCTTGAAATTAAAAAGAAAACTGGGAGTAGAAAAAGTGCATGAAACATTCCAAGCACAGTCACAAGAATCACTGTTTTCCAAAAAACTGCCACTACATAAGCGCGAATAAAAATTAGTGGTATCATTCCTGAAATTGTTATTGAAATTGTTAGACTACACGTTATATCCAAAACTGATGAAGTAAAAAATTTCGAACAAATACGCCTTCTGCTACAAATCGATTCATCCTCCTAATTCAGTTTGATTAGTTTGATAATACATATTGATTTAGGGTTCATTTCTATTTCTAATTCTTCAGAATCATTTAGGATCACGAATGAGCTGAAAGCTTGCAATTCTATTCCTAAATTACTGATAAATATCTAATTCTAGTGCACCACCACACCGAACCAGAAATAATGAGTGCTTCTGCATATTCTTTAGATACTGAAAATTGAACTTTGCTAAAGTTAAAAGCAAGAAATCATAAATTCATTTCTAAAAATATTGCCTAACATAATTCAAATATTACATTATTTATACGGCGAAATCCTAAAAAACTCTCATCTTTACTAGTTAGATGGACCGAGCTAAAAATCTTAAAAAATTTTATTGTTTGAGCGGTCGTTTTTCTGTTCCCTTCGGCTATTCTGTTATTTATTTTTGGAACTTTAAAATTTGCTACAAATTATTAAGCTAAGTTTCTTTTAGATTTTCGAAACAAAGAATTAAAAAACATTGTAAATAAATTATAAATTAAATCACATATATATAATTTAATAAAAATTAAATAAAACAAAAATAATAAATAACTATTTTTTTAATATAAAAAATAAAAATAATTTTTCTTTATATTTTCTTTATATTTGGTTTCATTTTTTTCCCTCTAGTTTTATTTTCTTTGCCTTTGACAGGAATAAGGCTGGCATGATTTCAAAAATCCGCGTGGGATCCTCTTGCAATTCTATTCGTGTGACTCCGGTTCCGCTCCTGATTGACTGATACTCTCAAACCGGTGTACATGCCATAAATATGCAATCTGGGCATAATAAAATGATATAATCCCAAGGCTTGAAGGCCCAGCTGACTTATCGGAATAAATAAATATTGCCAGGGAGTCACTTGGTGATAGAATTCATTGGCGATCTGACAATGGCAGTAACATTTATAGGCCATTTTACTCCAATAAATACTTTAACATTTGTAGAAGTATAAATGATTAACGAAAATCTTTCATATTCTATATTTTATTTATTATTTTGTTTAAAATTTAAAAGATAATGCATTCAAGATATTAATTTGTAAAATAATGCAAAAACTTGCCTAAGAAAGTACTAAGGCCACTTTGAATAACGGGCCAGCCAACAACTAATATCGTTTTACGAAGTTTTTCATACGTTTCGTTGTTGGTTCTACTTGTCGAAGAATCGCTTGACATGCTTTCACTGCCCAAATCGGTTCCAACAATTATAGAAATAGGTCTCGAGTATTTCCTTTCTTTATTAGCTGAATCGTCTTTAGCATCTTTGTCCTGAAAACTAATGTAGATCGTTGAAAGCGACAATGATTTCCATTATATTCGAGGGACCAAATTATCTCAGAATTTAAAAATGAATAAGACTGGTTCAACTAAATATTTTCCTAATATGCCGAATACAAGTTCATAAAGCCAAAGCCACAAGAATTAAATTTCAAACGAACAAACCTCATCTGTAAAAAAATGATAGCAAATATGTGCACTATAATCAACAGAAAAGCCAATACTCATCAGCATGCTGATTAGAGATATGCCATCAATTCTAATTCCCCACAGATGAAGATATCCAACAGTACCAATACATATTGATAATATTGAAAGTACGACAGAGATAACGGCTCCGAAATCGGTTACAAAGACAATTACGAGCAATGTCATCAATATGATGGCGCTCACTTAAAGTGATCTGGTAATATTTTGTTGAAACATGGAAGTTTTTATTTCTAAGATATTGAGATTTTGGCACTAAAATTAATTAATTAAGAGTTGTTCAATTAGCTTAATCAGTAGTGGTCAAACCACGGGTGCATGGCGACTCTGTTGAAGTCAACATTCTATTCAGAATCATGTAGTTTGGGTAGTTGAGATCAGATATTTTAAGCTTTTTGCTCAAATATATTTTTTTAATGATATTCCTCACTTCATGTATGGGCTAAGGCTAGATTAAGCCACATGAATGCACTTTTAACCAGTAAAACAGGTTGAATTTGGAAGGTTGTTAAAACTCACAACTTATGAAACTGATAAAACTTTTTCAAAAAAGGACATCTTCTTTTCACAGAATTTTTTTCGAACTTTATAGCATAATCCGCAGGATCCTTGGAAAAAAATTTAACAAGCAGTGAAATAATCCTAATAATTTAAGGAATTTTAAGTAAACGAAAAAATTATAGTCTTTCAATCTTTCAATTTCACCCAAGAACATGGTCATATCCGATATAAAATGTATAAAATGAAATGAAAACCTGCTGTTTGGAGGAAATTATGGAGCGCACTTGCCGCAGCTTCAGTGGGAACTTTTTCGAGTGGATGATGCGAGCTGACGTTGAAAAATTCCGAATATTTAGCGATAATCAATCGCCTATAATTTCATTTTTCAGATTTATTTGATAAGATTGCAACAAATAATATAAGAAAATGAAGGAGAAAAGATTGCAAAAGTAGGCAAAAATTTTGATTAAATCAAGGAATTGATTTTTGTTACCTTTTGTCCATAAGTTCTTGAACTTGAAGAAAACTGTTCATATTATGGTAGGTTATGGTCCAAAAAAAACCAGTTATCACTTCAACACCATTCTTTCTAATGCTAAAAAATTTAATGGCGATTCTTCGAAAAATAAGAAAAAAAAAGTTGGAGGATTATCAAAAAATAAAATAAACATTTTGAAAATCTTAAAATCTTAAAGAAACACCACTCACCGTGTCGTCAAAAATTTCTCTTCCATTTTATATGTTCTATAATTCCCAAGCAGTTCGTCTTGTGCCCAGAAATTACTTTCTTCTCCCCAAAAGTTAGCGGCCTAGAAAATAAATAAATGGATAATTAATGAATGACCTTCATTCGATAAATATCGAAAATAATAAATAAATAATTTATGCATCGATATCGAAAGCGAGAACTCATCCAAATTTGAGGTATTTGAGAATCGAGTAAATGAAAGATGATAATCACATCAGAGAATTCTCGAATCCATAAATTCGTTCCTTCGGGTCCTATACCATATTTCGGTATCATCTCGAGTTCTTTAATGAGTTGGTCGAACTTTTCTCGAATGAATGCATCGGCGAAATTTGGCATCGGATACAATGCAAAATTAACCACATATGCCTCATTTAATATGAACTTCTGCATTATTTTCGACACAGAATTTAGAGGTGAATCTTTCAAATACAGATTTTCCATGTCGAAATCAGTATTTACTTTTGTAAGAAGATATCCAGATGCCTATAAATTATTTAAATATAAATTTCATCTAAGTTAGAGCAAAATTTCTTCGTATATTGATGCTTTAACGAGTTATTGACAAGGCAAATAAATAAGCTGGTAAAAATGCTGAAAAGTATAATAAATGTCCGCAAAAGTAGTCATACAATTTCGAGTAAAACTTCAAGGCTAGAGAATAAGATATGGTCACCAGCCAGAGCAATTCTCAAGGCCTCTCAAGGAACCCAAAGCCTATCCAGGACAACGAGAGATTGTCCCTTAACATTTTATGCGTGGTGAGGTGCTGGCCGTAGCTGCTTGAGCATCATAATTTTTATAGACGTGCAAGTCTAGAGATCACTTCTTTTCCACACACTTTCTAAAAAGCGCATGGATGTGGCTTGTTTGTCGAAGAGCCGTCTTCCTCATGTCGGATCTCGAGTAATTATTAAATCTTGTTCCGAGCAATGATAATGACTATATTATTGTGGTGCTTCGGATAAATCGGGACGGAACAAAGTAGCGATTGTTATATTTGAAAAAGCTCAATCCGCTCTGATTGAGTAGAAGCCAATAAATGATCGCATGGCGCTTTTCAAATAAAAGTTCAGCAATATCAGTAATCAGTTTATATGAACCATTTTTATGCGCAGATGACCGCGATAAAAATAAATTTTAGACAAATTTTAACTATTAACGGCTCTATCGAAAGGTAACATGGTCATAATCGGGATAGACCGGAATGCATGCGTAAGTGATGCTGCTGCGATGAATTTGGTAATAGGCAAATATGGTATCGGTGTCGGGTGCGCCAATGAAAAACACCTTTTTCGCTTTGCTGAACAACATGAGTTCTTTGTTGCTAATATATGCTTCCGGTATTGGAAAAAAAGAAAGATGTTTATCTATGTGGAACTCTTCATGTAACCAATATTCCAATCAGATTCACTATGTATTGGTCAGCTGCGGCTAGAAGAGTTCAATACGTAGTAGTTATTCTTATCGGTGCGCTGAAAATGGTAACGTCATGGATCAGACTACGTTATGGGGTCGCATAAGAAGCAACGTATCTCAAGATCTTTCAGCTATTTCAAATTAAAATGCCCGAGAACAATAGCGCATTACAAATTATATTATTGAAATACCTCTGTGAAATGAATATCAATGGCTTATCTGGAATAGCAAAAGAATACTGGTACAAAGTAATATCTCCGAAAGCCAGCTGGTTCTACGCCAGAGTATACTAGTTGAAAGTGTACTAGTTGGGTATCGGAAGGGTTCTACGCCAGAGTATACTAGTTGAAAGTGTACTAGTTGGGTATCGGAAGCAACTGTCCAACTGTTTGAAAAAGGTGCCAAAGCCTGAATGTCAAGAGATCCAAAATATCAGGAAGCATTACAATGAGAAGCATAGCAGTACACTGGAGGAGAAATAGCTACTGGAGCGATATGGCTTTAAAAATGGAGACTGTGGCTCAATTAGATGATAATAGGAAACTATTCTATTGAGTAGAAGCCAACGATCAGTGAAATAATAGAGGATAGCAATGTATATCTGTTGAAAATATTAAGGATCGCCTTTTAAGAAGGATTCTTTGAGGCCAAATTCAACCATGATGCTCCGTCTGTTACAACGGATTACAACGGATAAAACTAAATCGCTCATCGAGTCATACGTTTACAACTTCGAACCGCCAACAGAAAAGGAAATAACCTTTTCAATAAGCTTGAGGCCCAATAAAACTCCCCGAGAAGATGGTCTTTGGGGCGAACTCTTTAAATGTTGTTCATCACCGTTCATAATTCATCTTCAACAAATATATGGCTCTCTGATATTTGGCAAAAGAAAATATTACCAGAAGGCTGGAGCAAAGCAATTCTGCTTTCAGTTCTAAGGTGACAGGACATACTCCGATAATTACCAAGGAATCATTCCCCTAAACATCTCTGGAAATTTCCTCCTGTTAATGAGGCTCATGGCAATATGAAACAGCAGGATGCACCTTAACCAGATTGGATCCAGATTAGGTTGTGCTGACCAGATATTCATTTTAAAAGGGATGCTGGAATATTACTTAAAATATCAGCAATCCACCGCCACTTGCTCCATCGATTTTGCAGCTACCTTTGATTTAATTAACAGAGCATTGCCTTGCAGAGTGATGAAATGTGATGGCTTTTTAGAGAAGATCATTTCCTCATAAAGAGGTTTATCAGCGTTATCAGTTTCATACGGCGCAGATCTGTGTATATGGGGAATTGACAGACTCCTTCGAAATAAGAACTGGTGTCCGTCAGGGCTGCGTCTTTTCCCCTACAGTATTCAACTATGCGATAGACTGAGTAATGGTCACCGCTTGTCGGCACTCAGGAGGTATCCAAGTCCAGAGCACCGTATCACCGATCTTGAATACGCTGATGATGTAGTCATTTTTGTTAAATAGTTATGATGAAATGTAAATAATGCTAAATAACGTGTCGGCGATTACAGCGAGAATTGGACTCAGGGTTAATGTAAATAAAGTGTTTCTTATATAGAAGCTGATAAAATACCTATTTTTATCAATTTTTGCCGGTACTTGACTTTAAATATCTTGGATCCACTCTGGTCTCAAATGGCCAAGTAAAGGATGAAACTCAAGGATCACAACTCGGATAACGACAGTTATAATAAAGACAAAAGTCAGCGTCTGTATAGCAGCTATTTATTCGAGCTTGCTATATTGTTGCCGGACATGGCCAATGAGAGTGGAGGATATTAAGAAGCTATCTGTCTTTGATCGATCACATCTGAGATACATCTTCTGCATACGCCGAGCTACCTGTCTATTATTGTCGTCGCATAGCTTGGAGACGTCTTACCCTTGTAGCTAGGGAAGCCAATCTAATCAGTAATGATGAGAGCTATTAGAAATCCGTAAAAAATGAAAATGATAATGAATAATAACAATAAGAAAATAGTAAAATGATGACAGATGACAGAGACAGATTAAAGCTTTGCGAAATTTATCATAAAATGTTTTCGTCCTTGCAGAATTCAATTCTTTTCGGTAACAGTTGATAACAGTAATAGTTTTCTGATAGTAATAGTTTTCTGATGTATGTTTTTTATATTCTGTGGATGTTGACTATTTTTTAAAAAGTAATTAGTACTATAATTTCATTAAAATTTCTGTTTCTAGTACCTCTTTTATATTTATTTGCCTGTGCCAAGCAACTTTTTTAATTACTTAATTACTGTAATTACTGCAAGCTGTATCTATAAAATGGAGATTTATAGATAAACATACGATGAGATGGACGAAGAAAACGGAGAGTACGATGGTTTTCGTTGAAGCGCAATGAAGAAAACTGATGAAATTATGAAGTACAGTGCTGAGCCTTATTCGAGATGGCGAATTTATCGATAATTTCCTTAACGACACCGATATAACTGATAGCTTTTTCATTGCTTCTTTCGATATATCTGTATCAAATTTCCACATTCGCTCGACCAATTCCATGAACTTATTACTGAGTCTACAGCAATTCCGTTTTGATGGCTGAATTCATAATCGCAGAAATATTAAAATTCATTCATTCATACCATTCTTAAATATAATTCCGGTCCATGTACCCTTCTATGAATTTACCCTTTAAATGAAAATCATATGCATTATCATTATTGCCTTTGCAGAATATTTGGTGATTTTTTGAATTTTTCCTTAATCCCGCCTCAAATTGATAAAATTCTTTCTAAGTAGAATTAGTATTGTTATTAAGGACTACTTTTCGGAAAAAAGGTGCAAATGGAGTTTTAACATGAATTAATATGAACGTAGAGAGAAACTAACCAGTTTTACAGCTTTATATGCCCGATGACGGTCAGCATTCATTTTATATCTAATGCAAACATTGACAAGCGCCGAGAAAAATGTCATCTGAATTAATTTTCCGAATTTGTTTTTTTCTGATTGTACATTATGAAGAATTTATAATTTTGCAGAAAATCTCTGAATTTTTTGAAATAAATTTTTTTGAATTTTAGTTGAAATAGTTTTAAGGAAATGAAACAGCCGAATGGTTTCTTGTTCAAATTACACCATGAGAGTCACAAATTGGACCATGCACCTTGTCCTGACAGGAGAAACCTGTCATGAGAAATCCAGCGATAATGCATTTCTATTCCCAAAATTATTCTTGACAGAATTATTCCACTTTAGTAACAACTAGTAAAGCTAATATAACGGGAAATGATCTTCCTATATGGCTGCGACCAATGAGAGTGGTGGATATTAGGAAGTTATTTGCCTTCGACCACTCATATCTAGCGATACATTTTACGAGTTGGCCAAGTACATAAAAGCTCACATAATGCTCACATAAAGCTCACATAACCCATCTTCGTGCATTAATACTACTATCATAGAAGGCCTTCGCTGATTAGGTCATTGTCTTCTTTTTTCATCACATGGCTTGGTGCATATTTCTTTAGTTGCTAAATCCTGTGATGGATACCGTCAAAACCAATAACCAATCTTGACTGATATAGTTAGATATAAGTGGTATAAGCGATATCAGGATGGAAGCCAACGGAACCAGTCTAAACCAGTAATGGTGAGAACTACCAGAAGAAGAATCAAAACTAATGAGTGGTAACCCCTTCAAATTTTAGTTATTTTCCCATTGCATTCTCAATTCCCAGTTTTTTATTTAGCATTAAACAGGCTTTCAAGATCTAAGAATGCTATTTCTACACTGATTCGGTTACCGATGAAAAAGAACAATTGAACTAATAAACTTATCAGTAGAATGGTTTAGAAATAGAATCAAAAAGTGAAATGAAAGAAAGTGGAACGAAAGAAGCAATTTAACCTGGTAAATATAATCAACTGCTAAAGCAAGCGATGTGTAGAGGCAAAACAGACGAACAACAGGCAAGTTGGAAAATAGTCCGACTGCGAAGCATAAAACGTCTGTTATTGAGGTAACTGTGACACTGGATCCAGATTTTGCCAGCATTTCACCTGATTTAATTTCCAAACTTTCTCCTGGTCTACAAAAATATTATGGCGTTATATATCTTTAAATTTAAGCTTATTATATATAATCATCCCGGTGAACGTCTTTGGAAGACATTTAGCATTTTTTATTTGGTATATTCGACTGTTTTCGCTTTAAATACTTTTATTTTTAGCAGTTATTCTTTTACTGAATTTCTAAAACATGGAAGTGAACTTCACTGTATGCGATTCGAAAATTACAAGAGGTTTAAATTTTTTGATTAATAGGTTTAGTTTTAGTCCTTTGGCTATAAACAGATATTCAGATGAATGAGAATATTAAGTCCTACAAAAAAAAAACCCAGTGATTATCATTCACAAGAAAAACAAACTTAGAATGCCGCCAACCAGCAAGAATAAGAAAAGCATCGTCCACTCCAATAGTTATCACCAAGAAAGGTACAACAGTGAGAATATTGGAAAATGGTATCCCAATTGCCCAAAGCATTCCTACTGATGTAATAATTGCCATAGCCGGTGATAACATTCCAATGATGGCCTAAATTTTAATTATTTCACTTTTATCTATTTTTATCTAATTTTCTTTCCTTTTTTAAGAGCTCACTATTCCTGGTTAGGTTCACTCCGCTGGTTTGTCAAGTCAAATTTTGCTAGGGAGAGGCATAACGACAGAAATATAATTGAATCGCCAGTATATTTTGAAGGCGAATTTGCTGCCCAAATCTCAGCATCCGTGCTTCGAAATAATAGCAGCTAAGTCATTCCAACCTTAATCTTTATTATTAATATTTTCAAAATAGCCACAAGTTTCTGCAAAAAAATTACATCACAATGATGGGATTATAGAATTTAAGAATTTAAGAATCACAAAGTGAGAAATACCTCAACATGCTGACTTTTAGATAGTGGAAAATCGGTTAAACTCATCACCATAAATAACGTAAGAATTGTGGCAGTTATTGCTAAATATGGCAAAGCAACGAGTGTGATTTGTCGCTGTTCTTTTAATTCAAAATTTCGACTTAACAAGGAAAATTTGAGCTTCTGAAATATTTGGAAATTCGAAAAGAACTAATTAATTTTTGCCAAAAAGTTTTGTTTGGCTTATTGATGTTAAATAATTTAAATCGTGCAGACGAAATTATAAAGCAGAAATTGTGAGAATTTCTCAAAATTTTTCGCTGACATTTTTCCAGTTAACTTCATTAAATTATGAATTACATTCTGCACGATTGTGATTTCTACATTATCATTTATGACAAAAGAATGTGGACCATCACATATTTTTTTTAATAGCTTTCACTATTTTTTTTGTTGTACCAGAGGGATTTTCCCCTTTGACGATAAAAGTATCGCCAGCACTACCCGGAGTTGATAACCAGGCTTGGTCGTACTAGAAGTAGAGCTACAGCATGCTCCAATGCTCCGAAATGATAAACCCATAATAGTCCATTGAGCCATTCTATCGTATATCATTTAAAAATAAATCATTTGGTGTGTAATTTTACGGTAAAGTCTCTACGACTATACCGAGCTATTTTCGCATTTTCTTTAAATAAAGTAAAAGGAAGATATATTATTACTTTTGATATATAATTTGCTGTATAGAAAACGTCTGTGAGCTGCCGTTCAAATTCAATGGCAATTGCCCGACCATTCGCTAATCGGAGATTAACCTGGATTTTTTTGAAATATATTATTTCGTCAAAAATTAGATAAAAGCTTTCACTATCAATAACGCATAATGTTGGCATATATGGTCGATTATCACAAATTACCTGTAATCTCTGGTCTACCAAACAATATAAAATTAAATTTACCCACCATAAAATGTAGGATGAACAGTCGAAAACCGCTGATTTTCTTTGATGAAGATTTCATCAACTGACCAATCGAATATCTAAAAAACTGCAAATTATTTCTAAATTGACATATCCAAATCAGATCTGAATTTATGCTCGTGAATTTATGAAAGGTTAAATATAAGTTATACGATATCGAAATGTTTCATAATTTAGTATCCCTTAATTCCCCTTTATTTGCATTATTACTACATTGCTTGTTAAATTACTACTTTTGGTCATATTTCTTTGATATTTTATATCGATATTCATTAATTCATTTATTTTTATTTGATATATTATTGGTTGTTATCAATGCAATCACATGGCGTTTGTCGTTCTGCATGGTTGTTTTCAAATAATATGGAGATAATATGCAAGTAAATGACGAAAGAAGCGAAACGAATGTGTATTAATTGAAGATTTACCCGAGAAATATATGTCGTTCGAATGCTCTTGCAACAGGGAATTTTAAAATTAATGAAGATGATTTGCCTTCGGTACTTATTATTGCCTGGAAGGTTCATTTAGTATATATATATATATATATATATATTCCAAAAATATACTTTTCTATTAGAAAATTAAATTTTCACGCTTCAAGTTTATTCTATTGAAAATTTTACGCATTTTTTTCTAAAAGTAATCAGGCTTACTCAACTGACTTATCGGATAAACGGATTTTGGAATTTTGCACTTATGAATGGCACTTATGAATGTTCAAAATAATCAAAAAATTTATACCTGAATGAAACTTAAAACAATTGCATTACTATCATTACAATATATGCCACAAATATCATCGTATGTGAGCGAATTATTGCCATCAGCTATAGAAATATTATTAACAACATAAGAATGCATATTAGAGATCTCGTTTAAATCCATCATATTCATCAAATTTCCACCGTCTTTTCGATTAACGAGAATTTGTATCTATAAATTAAACTGCTAAATTCTTATGTACCCTATCGCTGTCCTCAAATCCTCATTTTAATATGAGACCATCTATTTTATTAGATGAAATCCAGCAATCAAGCGTTACTATTTATTGTAATGAAATACATTAGGAAATAAAGGCCTTAATATATAGTGACTTAGTGATTTTGAATACGACTAACCATTATTATCGCTTGTTTTTTTCATGGAATTATAGATTTAACTGTCAAAAGAGTTTCGAAAATTTTGAAGTTATTATAAATTATTTTTAAATTTTCAAACGAAAAAATTTTAAATTGTTGCACTTATTTAAATAAAGAAAAAATGAATTTTTCAACTTTCGGAAGCCTCAATATAATTTTCATTTATTTTGCTTGCTTAGAATTATAAGCTAAATAAAACAATAACAAATACAAATTAATGCAAATGATAAATGATTAGAACACTGATAAGAAATTTTTTAAATGCAAAACAAGTTTATTAAAATTAAAGTTTTTGTTTTTATGTATTTCACATCTAAGAGTATTCAAGAATGCATTAATAAATCATTACAAAAATTAAACAAGCAAAATGGCGATGCATAAATAAATTTTTATTTGTTTTTGTGGATTTCCTGACTAAAATGAGAATCATAAAAACAATGAAAAGTAGCTACCCGGTAATGATGCGCACTGCTTGCGTATTCGAACATTTCTAAAGCTTTCTCTTCCATTCGGCTGAGACCATTTAAAGGCGAATATAAATCCCAAATATCGTCTTTACTGTGGAAATTCAGCAAACCTATTGAAGAAATTAAGGTGATAAGCAGCGGCAATATCTGAAATTGAAATAATAGCGGAATTTTAAGAGCTGAAATCGTTTAATGACTTTTTGATAATTGTTATTGTTTAAAAACGAAAGCATTTCTGAGCTCAAATAAAATTAGCGTAAGGACCACTAAAACTTCTCTATCGTTGAATTGTTCCCAATAAACTATCCGAATTAGAAAAGGAATTATAAGCGAGTTTTTTAAAGACTTACAATAAAAGGAAAAGGATGCCTAGCAAGCAGACGACCATATCGGTCGAACATCGTTTCAAGAAATCGCATCGCGGATTCTTCTGATCTCTTAACTTTCTGCAAATCTTTAATAATTTTATTATTATAGTTTTCGTAGTTTACCTTTCTTTTTCCGAAAATTTGCTTCACAAATTCATTTATAAAATGTTTAAAATAATTATCAAAAATACGATATAAAGATGAAGCAATGTAAGAGAAATTTTCATTGCAATCTTTTATTAAAACGTGTAACGTATGAATTAAAATTTTATTAAGAAAAATTTTCATAATACCGCAAAAAACAAATTGACACGAGCCGGAAAAGCAATATTTACAAAAAAAGTTAAACGACTCGCAATTAGGTTAGCACCTAATCATTTGGGGACCGAAGCGAACCTTTCAGTCTTAATGCTATTCAGTCTTAATTTCGGCCTGATTAAAAAGCTGTGTAGATCTAGAAAGAAGTGAAAAGACCAATTAATTAAATGCCGAAAGAAATCGGCGACGAAAAATTTTTTTTGGCCCAATTTTTTGGATAGAAAAACGGCGATATTGTTCCTAAGGTGATTCTGTACATCACAATTTTTATATTTTGGATATTTTTATATATTATATTACGAAACGTGTTCGTTATAAAATGGTAAGTAAAGGGCAAAACTGATATACTTTGAGGTAAATGACCGTGGAAACGATTTAATACTTCAGACGACAATTTGCTCAATGTGAATGAATCGAAACATTTCAAATGAATTTTTATTGAATTTTTTAAACTTCTTTCCTTCTATTTTCTGCAAATTCTAAATAAATTTCAATTTTATAGAAATAAAAAAATTAATCGGCTTAAAAAAAATAATGATTGCCATTGTATTATTTTCATGGACTATAAAATCTTTTTTTTCAGAAAATAGTATAAAAAGATTTTTTTTAACGTTTATCAACCGACTTTTTTGCATATTTAGTCGTGAATTTAATTATTTTTCTATAAATGAAACTATATTGAGAGGCCAAGTGGATTACTAGTTGTACGATCATTGGTTCACTGGTTCACCATGGCTCACTTCTTGTGCTTTACCACTTCATTAAGAATATATCGGAGTGTGCTGGAGGCACACATGCACTTCTATCTCCAATTAACTCTCTAGCATAAGTTTAGTAATAATCAATAGCCAGTAGATTTTAATTTAATCGAAACTCAATGGTAGCGAAAGCTTTAACGGTAGGTAGTAAAGTTCTTAGTAAAAAAAGGCAATAAATTAAATTTTAAATGTCACCAAATTATTATAGGTTTTTTAAATTGATTTAAATTGCATGGGTGTATATGAAAAAAAAAAAGTTTTTCAAAATATTTTAGAAAAATTTGCCATTCTTCTCGAATGAAATATAATGAAATTTGCATTAATTTTTCATTTTATTTATTTATTTTATTTATTTTCCTATATTTTATTTATATATTATTGAAAGATTTTTTTCTAAGAGCGCTCTTATCTGAATTTGTCTGACAAATCTTGAAAATATTGGTGAACCATCGCCATTACTCGGATTTTTGAAAAGAATAGAGCCCCCGCTCTATCCGTAATGTAAACAACAACCCAATGAGCTATTCCGATTTGATGGATATAAACGTGAATGATATTAGGAAATGTTATAATCCGCTAAGATAAATTAATTTTATAATTCTAGAAGGGTTTTTTTTCTAAAGTGAGGTGAACTAAAAATAAAATACATTGAGAAGGAATGGAGAAAAATCCCGTTTTTTTAAGAACTATTGTATTTTTTAAAAAAATTTCATGAAACATTTTAGTTTCTTTGCTTTCGCATATTGCGAAAAGGACAATTTTAGAAATTGAAGGAGAAAATAAATCACTGCTTTATAAACCACAAACAAATCGTAGAAAAAAAATCAAATTTGGTTGATTGAGTTGTTTTAACTAAGGCCAAAGCCATCTTAGGCCCAATATTTATGTTTCAATAGACGCAAATTCGAATTAATAATCAAAGTCGAATGACGCATACAGTGGTACTTCCAAATGACTCTCATCCTAGTGGTCGACGAAAACAACCGAACCAAACTAAAAATGATGCGTGGATTCGGAAAATAAGAGAAAAATAAGCTTCGTGAGAAATAGGAAATACTAAGAAATAAAACAAAGTTCGATGAAACCTATTTGGAAACTCCCCTTGAATATTCGCTCATTTTTTTCAAAAATCTTCAAAAAAAATTCATTTCAAATTAACTCTTAATTTAATTTTTAAGATCTAAATCTTTATTCCGTTAAAGACTTTGGGAAATTTTTTTTAGAATTTTTTTCCATCATTCCTCTTCATGGTTCTTCTTTTATTCTAAGGGCACACTTTTCCGCGATTGATTCATTGAATATTAGGAAAATTGACTGCTATTTAAGAAAGCGAGAGGCTCTCTCTCATGACTGTTCCACTAGCGCTTTCTTATTGCTAAACTTAGTGAGTGGTAATCATTCGGCATTTCTGGTTAAACTCGTTTCGCTGACTACTAGTTTTTAGAAAGAGAACCAAGGGTAATAGGTCACCAATACTCTGAATTTTAAAGACAGGTTACAGGTTTACACCTGCTGCAAGTCGAATCCTATCATCGATCCTCAAAAATGAGAGCAGTAAACCATTGAAATATTTTATCCCTAAATCAAATGACCACATAATGAGTCCATATTTTACTTCTGTTACCGATAAGAGTGAATCCACCATTAAAAGTTTGAGTAATTCTGATGACCCACTTGTATTTCTATCGCCAAATGATTCTCTGACAAGAATTTTTACTACATTGACCGTCAGCGAAGTAGCCTAGCCAGAAACAATGAGCGCTAAGCATTTGATTATTCCATAAAGCGGTTTTGCAGAACTAAAAGAGGAATGAAACGGACTAATCATATGATAGAAAAATAAAAGAAAAAGAATCAATATCAATAAACTAGCCAAATGAAATTAAAAATTAAAAGCAATAATGCTAAAATAGTACATATCCCCATTTCCTTTTTCAGTTTCTTGCCAGTGCTTACGATTCTCATTTAAATATCTCTACTAGCAGTTTCGATGACTTGCCAGTGGATATAGTTCTATTAACTATTGGTATTTAACATCCTTTCGTCAGAGATCCCTCTATCAGAAAATCATTTGGTGACAGTAAATTCACACCATTAACCGGATTTTAACTGCGACTTCGCATTGCGACTTTACTGCAATATCAGCTCAGTTAACTCAAATGCTGCTCAACCAGTATGCGCTTATGATCATAATTTTGCAAGCTAAACTTTCAAAAATTTTTAAATCTATTTTTTATTTAGGCTTTAGACCCTTTAATTCGATTGTGATCACATTCGGCAAATATTGATGTTTTCTTAGAACCAGCAACAGGTTTTCAGTGACCATCAGATTGATCGGCAAATAATTTCATCGCCATAATCTTAAAAAAAACTATTGCATGGCGGCTTTATATACCATGATTCCAGATGATAATAACCATTAAACATTAAAATATGTTTGCAAGAAATTGGGGCATAAATATAATCTATCTTCAAAATCTTAGACATATATATCTATATAGCTATTGCAAAAATATATATTAATAAAGATGACCGATATTGCTAACTCTTTTTTTGCAACAATTTTTCACTAGGACCAGGCAAATTTCCACACAACTGGGCTAACTACCTCAATTTCTTAAATACAAATTTATTCATGCTGGAACTGGAATCACTTATCAATTTAAAACAAAGATACTGTTGATGAAATACAGAACTATTGAGAGAATATATATATATATATATAGGTATAAACATATATTTCCTATATAGGAAGGAGGCTTATGGAATTAAGAAGTATTTTAGAATCGATTAAAAAAGAAGATAATATCATCTTTTGTCGTTCATACAAAGACAAATAGAAGGATCTTAGAGGAGTAAAATCTGCATTCGAACAATCTGCATTTCTCCAAAATAAATTTGTTTCCCGTAATTGACGGATAGTAATTATGGAATTATTCATCGACGATGGCGATGCATTTATTTAAAGAGTAGCGAAAAAATTGCAAAAAACAATATAGAAATAATTTTAAAAATTACCGCAGAATTAATTAATTTTAGGTGTAATTATTTTAAAAAAAATTCTAATTTTAGTTTTAACAATGAAATGAATCTTAATAAAAGATTTTAAAAGTGTTATAAAAAAAAATTTTTTTATTGTCCAATCATTAAAATATTTTTGTTTATTACGAAGATTGTAGCATTTAATGAAGATGAAAAAATTACACTCGATGTCCGTAAAATGGGGTGAGACAAACGAGTCGGTGCCGTCCGTAAAATGGAGCCAAAATAAACTTTCGATGTTCGTAAAATGAGGTCGAGATAAATGGACTCTTGACATCTTCATAACTCTTTTCATTTTCCTCATTTTTGCTTATTTTGTCTTTTTTTCAGCAAAAATAATAAAAATTACACTTAAATAAATTACACTTAGAATAATTAAAATTGATAAAGGAAAAAGAAAACGATGACCATTTTCATTTTCTTTTCATTTTTTTTTCTTCATTCTTTAAGAAAATTGGAAAAAAATAAAATTTTGCGATAATTTAAAGGAGAAACTTTAAAAAAAAATTCGTTTCAGTTTTTTCGAATGAAATTTCAAGTTTTTGATTGAAATATTCAAAGAAAAACCAACAAACACTTAAAGATAAAACGATTTAAAGAAAGTGTTAAGCAATGATATTTATTTAATTGTTTATTTTTTTAAAAGGAAAAGAAATCGTTTCAAAAAAATATTGTTTTTTATTTTAATAACAAAGTAATATCAAAAAATTTTTAAAAAAAGTGCTAGAAAGGATCAGATTTGGTTAAGAAGAAGAGAATCTAGCCTAGGCATAGTACTATAGTCCTCATGTTGAGAGAAGCCTATCATTTAGGATAATATTATTACAATGATTTTAACTAAAATTTCTTTTCTCCATAAATTTCTGCACAAATTTTAAATGAATTGAGAAAATGAAGAGAATGAAAATGTTTCTGGGCTTATTTGATAGGATA